CTCTCTCTGTCTCTCTCTCTCCCTTTGTATATTTCTTTGTCTGTCTGTCTGTCTGTCTGTCTGTCTGTCTGTCTGTCTGTCTGTCTGTCTGCGTTCCTGCCTGTCTGTATATAGTTCTATCTATTTATCGATCTACCTGTCTTTCAATCACTTCCCATCTCTTATTTAATTCCTGTCTTTCTTTCTTTTCTCTCTTTCAGCTCCTATAAAATCAATATTTCACGAGCTCTTCAAATCTTAAGATTTATTCCTCTCTGGTGTTTTAAACTCATTTTATTCAGGGCTCGTCAGTCTTCACTTTTGATAAAATGCCGAATTAATAACACTCATTGAATGAATTATGAGATTAGAATATCTCGTGGAGTATTGACTACATTTAGACTCATGTAATGTTTATACTGAAAAATGCAAGATGTCAGCAAACATCCTTTGCGACGTGTTTTGGACTATTTTGGATTACAACAACCTTTTATGTCATCATCCACAGCTTAAACTCACAACAATATTGTTGTTTACATGTGACCACATTAATTGAATTTATGGGTGAAATACAGAAAGTTGTAAGTAGAGAGAGATTGGGTAAGATGTGTTTCATGAGACATACAGAAAAAAATACAAACAATTGGGAGTAAGAGAGGCAGAAAGCTTTATAATTTAGTGCTTTTAAAGCTACAATTAAAATATTTATGGGGTCATGTTTTGGTTCTATTTTGACACAGATGATTTCTGGAAAATTCGATGGCCAAAAGAACAAACTGATGGATCAGGAACGTTAATATACACGCACACTTTATTATTATTAGAAATCTATACTTTCAAATGATCATAATGCGTTTCAGGAAGTTCAATAAGGTGGATGTGGGCTCGAGCAAGGCAAACACTGCCGCAATCATGGAGGGAAAGCTGAAGGAAAAGCTGGAGTCTCTTGGTATAGCCGCTCTGTGTGTGGCACAGTCTGCCCCGATGGCCCTTCTCTCTGTCTGTGAGTACTCTTACCCCACTGTTTCTCTTTTTCGATTTCGAGCTCATTACCCCTTTCTTCTTCTTCTTCTTCTTCTTCTTCTTCTCTCTCTCT